CAAATATTATAAATATTTTTACAAACAGAATATTTTGTTATTAGTAATAGATATTATCGATTTAATTAATATTAATATTATTTAAATATTGTTAGCTTAATTAATAGGCAATCTGGACATCTCATTATTTATAATCACGTTTTCCATTATACCTGCATAAATATAAAAATTTATTAAACTTATTAAAGGTTGTGTTTGTTTTAAAAATGAAATATTCCAGTTTATATTTAAATTTACATTTGGTATTAATTCGAATAATTTCTACATCTATCTTAATTAAATATTTTTAACCAGTTATTAATTATTATTTTATTACATTATTATTTAATGAACGCTCCCAGTGTTTAATACAAATTAATTATAAAATGACCAATTACATTATAACATTTTTAAATTACCCCATGTTGATTTTTAATTGTATCTATTAGTTACATCATCATTAGTACGTGACCAAGGATTTAAAATTCATTAATCTTATTTTAATTTTGAAAATTCGATTAATTTTTCTAATTTCCTAGTGGAAAATGACAAAAAAAAAGGAAGAAAAAAAGATGAAGTTAATTTTTCCTCAATTTCTAAGAGACTGTCAATTATTCACTTGAGTCCTAGAGTGACATAAATTTAATAACATAAGACTGGGAGTGTTCCATATAAAGAGTTGGTGGAAGACGTACATACATAAATCAATAAGATCAACAGAGTGCTGTGTCGATCATTATAAAGACTCGATCAGTTTAATTTTCGATAATATTTTCTCGCGAAAGCAGAAAGTTTTTGAAAAGAGCAGACGATCTCTCGTAAATTCATTGAAGTTTTGTAAGGCGAACTTTTTGTAAATTCTAACTACTTTTTGACACTGAGGTACGGTTATCTCACGTGAGATAAGAAACTCTGCGATCTACTGAAAGTTGTTCCCTGAGATATCGAAGCATCGATTACGGTTTTAGAGTTTTAACGAAACAAGTCGCTGCATTGTCTACTTGTTCCATAAATTCATGATATAATTCTCAAAAACTTTTTTCTAAACGTTATACGTGGTTATTCGTGCATGAATTTTACGAAGTGTAAAATTGGAATAAAGTCTGATAATTGTAAAATACAATTATTAATTACATATAGTAAAATTTAAGATTAAATACAGTAAATAACTTCTAATAAATTATTATATGCAAGTAAATTTTTTAAATACCACTTTGAAATAATTCTTTTGAAATTACATACTCATTTCCTCTTCATTTATGTAACAAATGCTTTCATTGATTTTTCATTTTCATTTTTACTTGTTTTAATAAGAAAGTAAAAAAACGTACTCCGTTTAATAGTGATTAATATTGGACATTAAACAATTTAATATTTTCATGATATGTAAACGCATTATGTTAATTTTGTCATGTTTCGAAATTAATTTGTGATAAGTTTTTAAACGGCATTAATTATGGTTGTAAAATCCATTTATTCTATTCCATCAAACATAAAACGTACATTTAGTGAATATAAGACGTGTGTTGAAAGTTTCTCTGAGATTGAAGAGCAATTGGTTTTATGCATTTGTTCTTCGATGAAGATATAAACGTTCAAGAAAGATCTCAGTTTATATTTTAAGAATTTATGTTCGCATCTCTATAAATATTCTAGAAAAGCACTCAGAAACTTTTGTTCTTTATGTTTGTGAAAAAAAAAAAAAAGAAAAAACGGCGATTTTACGAGAAATTGAGAAATATTTATAACTCACTGTTGGAAAATCGTTTAAGTAAGAATTTGCAGCCTTGGGGGTAGAAATGCACATTGTATATAAATCGGTTCACTGAATAAGTTCAATGGAGGAAATATTATTGATTTTAATTCGTGAAAATACTTCAAATACTCGGGCACATATTTCTAGATAAAAATACCATGAAATATAGGACAATATTTTAATTATCTGTGATATTTCAATTTCTTTCCTAATATTTTTGATGGAAAGAATATAAATAATATTCCGAGACACTATACTCTGTATATATGTACACGTAAAGGATGAATTAAAATGTAGAATTTAAAGAATTATTAGTTGAACTAAACATTGAAAATTAAAAATTCGTACGGATTTAATTTAAAATCTGAAAATTCTGAAATTAAAATTAAATTAGAAGAAAATATAAATATAAAATATCATAATAATTATAATTATTATCAAAATGCTACAAACATATATATCTCAAATATCTTAGATATATCTTAAATATATCTTCAAATAAAAACTTCATTCATCTCTAATTACTCGATACATCCCTCAGAAACAGAATCTTCTTGCTAAAATCACATCCAAAGCGACAATTTAAAATGCTAATCTGCATCGTATCTTTCCAAAGTATTTACCAAACAGACTAGGTCAGAGTAGAATTAAATGGCTAGAATTTTCGTTGATCCTCGTTTCCAATCCCTGTTACTTCGATCCTAAAGATCAAATATCTGTCGGAGGAACGTTTCCAGGCATTAACGAGGGAACGGATTCGCGTGAAAAAGTTGCGCGAAATTGACATCTCGGATTCCGTTATTTCATTTGCCACGGGGATTACCTTCCCCAGGATCGATACGTTCGCGAATCCGCGTGCAGCTTCGTTGATTGTTACCAAGATTCTAACCAAATTTCATGGAAGAAATGAAATTAAACGTCTGCGGTACCTGGTTGCCGAAGGACAAAACGGATTCGTAGGATTCCTCGTACTCTATTTCTTTTCCTTTCCCTCGTCTTTCCCTTTTGCAAATTATAGAATCGTCCTCTCGACATTGGAATTTCAGTTTACGAGATCAGGCATTAGCTCGTCCCGTTCCTCGTTTGGTAAGACTGACGTCAACCTCTGACGAACTACCTAGCTGAGAGCTTGGTAACTAATGTTTAATGGAAACGTTTGGTAAATAAAGAAAAAAAAGAAACTAGCGAATGTTATTCAGCTAAACACTTTTTTTGATTAAAAATTAAAAAGTTTGTAGTCACGTGTGCTTGAAATAAAATATTTGTTTTAACTGAAATGATATGATTAGCGGGATGAGGAAGGTAGCTTCATTTGGAATGATGAAGACTGGGTTCGGTGATTTCGAATTGACACTGTAAATGGCATTTTCAATTTACTAAAGTCCAGATATATGAAATATTCATAACCGCGTTGGCTGATGTATGAAATAATTCGTTTCAGAAGTATGTTCAAAGGGCTCCAACTTGTTTCGATGTTTATTATATTGAATAACGCAGATATTAAATACAGCAGCCTATTTTTAATACCGTCCCGGTTTTTCGATTTCATAAGGATACGAAAATTTTAAATTATTTAAATAGGAACGATAGAAATATGAAGTTCTATTTTCTTCTTAATCGATTTTTTCAATACTGCGAAATTAATTCATTTCGTTACAGCTCTTGTTTAATTAACGAGTTTTTATAAGGATAAAATATTTAAACATTTTTGATTGACGAGTTCACCGTTTTACTCCAAAAGATCGAAATTATCCAAAGAAATTGACATGCCTGAATGAGACGAGGAGAAATCCTCTTAATAATAAGGATGATTTCTTTTCGAGGCACATTTTCCCTTGCGACCAGCCCGTTTCATATTACCATCACGTATGGGGTTCCATATAACTCTCAAACCAGAATTATAAATTTTTATTCATATTCATAAGTAATTAAAGAACTTCAGAAAACTTAATGTCACAATTATGTAAATTTATTATTTACCTTGAATATTACCCTGCTATAAATTCATAGTGAAAAACGTTTACAAACGAACAAGAAAAAATTATTAATTTCCAGAGAAATTATAGAATACGTCTGAATATCGCATAAATATTATATTTCTTTAAATCGCAGTACATTTAATGGTAAGTTGCATGTAATTGGGCTATTGTGCAACATATGGTACATAACATAATATTTATATCAGGGAATTCTAATTTATACCGATCGAGGGACGATTATTTCTGATTATTCTTTTTTACATTAACTTCCAAAATTAATTGGAAAAGCACTATCAAAGCAATAATGATATCAAACAGCATAAAAATTGGAAGTTATATATGTTTAAACAATATTGAATTAAATTACAGAGAAATCTGTTATTTATAAAAGTCCACTATGTAAATTTCAATAGAGGAAATTATGTAAAATACTCATAAAACTTGAAATTAGAGAAATAAGAGTGATGTATTTATTGATTAAAGTTTCAACTTACAATTTATCGAAAATTAAGCAAAAGCTATTTGAAGTACTGTTTCAATTGCTTTTTAGAATAGGTAGAGATATCTAATTAACAAATATTTTCTATAAAGATAGTACGTTTCAAATTCCTTTGCTTCTTAATTAACTACTCGTATCAAAAGCACTCTTATACCACTGTGAAAAACACTATATATTCATTATTTGTGTCAGCGAATTATAAATATATTGTTGTTTACAAATTTTTGTTTCAATAAAATCATCTATAATTAATAAAATAAATTAACAGCATAAAATAATATTCGAACAAAAAAATAGACAAATTCTCACTTAATATTTGTGCATCAACTATCATTTTTAACGAGTAGATTGTTTTAAATTAATTAATATTTATATGTACCATTTTGCTGCACAGTGAAATAAATGTCTCCTAAAACCGATTCATCAATCGATTAAAATTGATAAAAATTGATTTAAAAAGGAAAAAATATTTATTTCCATATACGTACCTGACGTATTATTACGTTGGTTTTCAGAAATAAAACGATTATCATAAAACAAAGAGACAACTTACACTTGTAAAACGTATTCATTAACAATTCGGATAACAAATAAAAAGAAAAATAGAATGCATATAAGCAAACGAAAGATTACTGCGAATATCATTCTCCAAAATGGCGGGATATTCAAATTTTTAATAACGGTCGCGTCGTCTTCACGATCGTCGCATCGAGCCACGCACCGAAAGCCTTTCACTTCGTAATAATGATACTATTACACAGCCATAAAAACGAAAATTGAAACTCACCGAGGAAACACGATGACAAGCAATGAAGACGCCAGGTCGATCTGTCCCCAGAGATAATAGTCGCGATTCGTTGCAAATGGTGTCGGACAAGAAATGTATCCGCTATTGCACAGTCATAGACATAGACCGTGCTCGCGAATTGTTCTGTCTGCCGGTGGGTATTACGTGCAACGACCTCCGTGATTCGTTTCTTGTGCTACGCATATAGGTGCACCTGTTTGCGTGTCACTTAACGTCACGTACACGCACGAAAGAGTTCGAGAATCCCCGTCGAACCGCTTCGGATGCGTGGTTTTTATTCGCGTACCAGATGTCGATCACGTTGCTAGATTTCGAAAAATATTCGAAGATAATCGTTTTGAACGGTATAAGAGCCCTATACAATAAACGCTTCTGTCCTTACCTCGTTCACAGTCGAAGCGGTACTGCGAAGCTCGTCGCGACCCGGTGTCCCCTTCCACCATCGACCTAGAGCCCAGCAGCCAATCACCGTCACGCATTCTCCAACGTTTAAACTTCTTCCGTTAGATCCACGGGCAGCCGATGTCAGATATGCGAGGGGGTGGAAAGCACTTTTGGCGGTCTCACGTGTTGCTTCGCTGTAAACACCAACGATCTGGATTTGATTCAATTACCTAAAACGAGCGAAATGATGCGCGAGTTCTCGTGTTAGTGCGAACGTTGGTGATAGAATGCACAAGAATGTGGAAAAGATACAAGGGAACCGTTGATGTTTGTAAATAACTGTTTAATGATCAGGGCGGGTGAGTAACAGTGTGAATATAGAAAATTGAACGCATCTCTTTTTTAACATTAAATTTAAGGCTGATCGAATGATCGGTCGCAACTGATTAAGGAGATTATGTATGAGTAAAGAAGGATAATAAGAAAAGAAATAGGCATTAGAATGGGGAAAAAAGAAAATAAATATTGGAATAAGAAAAGAAGTAGACATTGCAAAATTAGTTATATGTGTTTTATGAGAAAAGTTGTATAGTCAAGTGACAAAAGCGACAAAATTGAAAATAAAATTTTTGATCAATAGGTTGAAGATGGCTGTTTAGGTTATGGTAGATTTAGTGTTAATTTTATTTCTAATTGAATTTATGAGTTAATAAAATGTCATCTAATTGCTTGGATTCTTAATACCATTGATATTTGCAAAGATAAAAGATGTTTTATTTTTATTAAAATGAATTAAAATGTAAACTGTTATTTATATTCACTCTTCAAATCTCCAATTATTCTATTTTTGGTTTTCAATCATAGTAGCCTCGTAACTATATCAACGTACCAACATATATTTCCTTTGATTGGCACACACGTGCAAATCGAATTGAACTACTTTTAGCAACCAATAGTCGAATATGCAAATAAGTTTCAGTAAGATTATATAACCATTTGTATGTTGTAACAAAATATATTTATTCCTACGTAATATAACTCGTCTTATTGACTTTGTTAATGTTAATATCAAATCAAATGAAATATCTACTCTGATTACTCTATTGGCATTTACATTACTTAAATATTGAACATTAATGGTATATATAATACACATTTTGACTTCTTTGAAAACTTGTAATTCTTTTTTATACATTAAAATTAATTTCAAAGACTATATATTATTTTTTGAAAAATTAACAATATTTTATTAGAGAAATAATTCAACGAATTTATAAATGGATAAATAAGTATTAAAAAGAAATTAAATTTTAATTTATAATATAAGTATTACTGTACTAACAAAAGTTGTAAGGTTTATATTCATATAATTATATCTAGTACTCTACATCCTTCTAAAGTTGACCTTTAACATTATAATTTAAATGGAGAAATATCATCAAGTGTCATTTAACTGCACCATGTCGTCTATTAATGCTCTAACGATGTCTTTAATAACGACCTAAAGGATATTGAGCTACCACTTTGATCAACATGACTCGTTTCTGTGATGCATTTGAACGAGTTGATTCGAGCTGAGTCAAGTCATACAAAGTTTCTTATGCTAATATTCGTGTAAACTTACTAGTTTGCTTTGGTAGCACCTGTAGAATTTGACAAAAATTGGTGGTCATATTCGTAGGAGAATAATGTTTGTACATCCAGCAAACTTAATTTTCACATAAGATATTTAAAAGAGATGGCTGAAAATACGAAGGCTTGTGTTGCTTTTTTATATTATAAATGAAAATATAAATTAATATTAATATTCAATATTCAATATTAATAAAATTAAAAATTAGAAATTTGGTATATAAAAAGTTAAATAATTTCGATGCTTATAATTATTTTTTTAAACATTTTTATTTCTCACGCTTCAAAACAATTTTTAATTTAAAGAATTTTTTAAATCCATATCTTTACCATTCTTTAAAAAAGAAATTTTAATGTAATAGTAATGTACTGAAATCGAGGTAAAATACTGGTACATTACTATTTTAACTTCAACAACTTCTCGTCCGTGGATTACTTAAAACGTTTCCGCATCTCTTAATTTGCGAAACGTACCTATCTCGTGAAATTTCATTTCTACAGGACTTCGCTATGTCCACCTTACAATTCCTTTCTTGATTGACTTTCAAGTTTACCCCTGGATTCTAGTCTGTCTCCGTTATATAGAAACAAAAATTCACTGACCCTCAAAACCAAGGGGCGAGTGGAGAGAAAGTTTCATCTTAGGGTTGAGCATGGTTTACGATACGACTGTCTAATCCCTTCATTACATTTAGAATATACGTGGTCATATTGTAAAGGGACACGTATTTGTGTATTTCTTGATGAGTTACGCAAATGTTATTTACTTTGATGAAAATTTAAGTTAAAAGTCTGCAGTATTTCCAGTTAGAGAATTATTCACTGCATAATTTTTTTGTATAATTAAATTAAAGAAAGGACAACACGCTAAATTATTTCATTCTTATTTTTATTTCAAATTTATTGAAAGTATTACAAAATAATGAAATTATTTTGTCACATATTTCTAAAGCTGCAATCAGTTATTACAATGTGTGATTATTAAAATATTTGACGATAAAAAGTAGATGAAGAAGTTTATTTTGCAAAAAATAGGAATTCATTTTAATCTTTTACAGAAACAATTTAATTTGATTTTTATATGATTCGAAAAATAAATCTATATTAATATTTAACTATATTAATATTTGTAATTCTTATTTTTTAATTATTTGTTTAAATTGTTACTTAATTATTATACATAATAATTTTGTATAGGTTTACATATATATTATAGAAAAGATAAATATACTTTAATTTCTTTATCTTCTTTTTAAGATATGATATATCATATTTATCTTAGATTTTCATACATAGAAGAAATAATTTGGGTAACCATCATTTTTGTACCTTTGCGAGATGTCCTTCTAATATTCACATCAATTTTAACAAATACATATCACCATTACACGCTTTTAATTTTCCAGCCTATGAAGTTTACTTTGAAACTGGAAACTTACATTACACATAAGTATTAGCGGAAGTTTTCCTATCGAAGAAGAGAGAAAGTTATATTTACTTTGATACCCAAGCTGTAGTTAACGCATTGGAGCTTCCATTTGAAAACTAATTCAATTAATCAACAAGATGACAAAACTTTTATTTTTATCCATATTGAAACCATATTGAAACATTTAATAACAGGCAATTTATACCACATCTGACATTTAACCGTTATTTTGTCAAGCGAATAGCACTTCACCTTCACGTATATCGAGTCTGTATACGTGTACCAATTTATTAAATTAAAAAACATATTTCGATTAATTTCATATGAAATTGATATTTATTCATCAGCATTTCTTCGAGTACAATTTAAATTTCAGAATCATCTGAATCTTTCATATAATGCTTGCCACGAAACATTTTTATGTTAATTCGAGGGTTAAGGTGGATTCAAGTGTTATTGATGACATTCATTGTTATAATAATGTTTAATAAACTGGAACACATGCAGCTATTCAAGTAATCGGATAAAATTTACCGCGGTACTATGGTAAAAGTATGATTTATTCAAGCTAAAATCTACCTTGCAAGTAGTTTAATCCTCGTAATATCAGGCGCACTAGATATATAAAACCAGATAATTCTAGCGAAAAATCTCCTAATATCTTGACGTAGTGAAAGTGTAATCAACAAATGAACTCAACAGGATTATTTTATTAAAGTTTCTAACAAATAGAAGAATAATTGTGGGACACATGTTCTTTATTAGCATGAGAAATAGTGTTCAGAAAAATCCATATCACACAGGAAATAATTTAAAATTACAATATTAAATATAATTAAAAATTAATAAATAAATTTAATTATATAAAATTAAATTTAATTATATAATTAAAAATATATAATGAAATAAAATTATAATATTAAATTCTATAACAAATTATAGCAAATCATATAACAAAAAAAATATTACATTCGAGTTAATTTTATAAAAAAAATGAGATCGTTTTATAGAAAAAAGTTACTTCATTTGAAAAATTACAGAAGAAAATGGTTTAGATCTGAAGGAGAACACTAACATTTGGCAACATTTTATATATCTTATTAAAATGTCGTATTGTATAAAGGAGATAAACCATTAACAAATTGCTGTAATGATGAATATACATAAAGTTACATCGATATATTTTTGGCTACACATACGGACATCAAGGTTTATCCAGGATTCAAATATTTAGTCTCATCTGATCCCTTTAATTCCTATTAATGTAATGTATAAGATTCATCGATATCAATTTTACTGCTCTTTACATATGAGTTACATGGGTGAAATATGAACGACCATATGAAACGTGATTTCGAATCTATTAACTCTACGTTATGCAGTCCTCGATATGAACGTTGCATTTGTGCATGAACATATTATTACAGAAATACGATTGAAAATGCAGATTTCCTAATGGCATAAGTTACAATTGCGTAATAGTGAGTCGCAGCGAAGAGAAATTATCAAAACTTTGGACAAACTTTTATTTCTACTGTTCCACGCTCAAGTCGTATTTGCATTCGAAACTTTGTTCACTCGCGTGATTTTGCGAAAATCGGTAACCTGGCGGATATCAAGGGAAGGAGTTTAACAAGGAAAAAATATCAATTTCTTTTGAAAGTTCGTGCGAGTAATTTCCTACTTGTAATTAATTCAAAAATATAATAGAATATAATACCATATTTATATTATCTAAAAATATTTATTATATTATATCGTGTGAAATTGTATTGTTAATTCAGTAAATACAAAAATATTTTTTAAAAGAAGAGTTAATAGACTTATTTTATTTCCAAATTATATATTATAATTTAATTCTCGCGATTGAAAGGCACTTAAAATTATTCAGTAATGCATCATTATGAGCACTTATTGGAAAATTAAAATTCATTAAATATCATGTTATTTCATAAGTAAATAATGTATGTTCATTACTAAGATTATAC